AAGGGAAGGAAACTTGCACAAAGATAGATCATAAAAGTTTAGAACATCAAGGGTGAAAGGAAGACTGGAGAACGTAAGGGTAGAAAACCAACAAGACGCCTTTTTAAAGCACAGGAATCAGAACGGCGCCACCGTCGAACAGCAGCGACAGAAGCCGGAGGATAAAGGATCAATGCTTTCAAAATTCTGAAGGGAAATGATTTCCAATTTAGAATTCTATGCTTGGCTAACGTATCATTCAAACATGAGAGTAACTTCAACGAACTCTCAAATGGTTCAAGAAAAAAGTGTGCATTTATGTATCTATGCAAATAGAGGGAAAATGAGATAAAGGAAGTATGGTCAGATGTTTAACGATTGGTGAATTGGTGAAGGGTACAAAGAGTTTTTTTGCGATTTTTTTTGCAAGTCTTCTTTAAGTTTGAAAAAAAGAGGATGAGGGTACATTTCTGCTTAGATGTGAAGGTCTCTGAAGCTTCTCTTTATGGCACTTTCTTACTAAGTCACCGTACAACGAATGAAATGTGTTCCACACGAACAAGGAAGTGAAAGAGCAAAGCACAACCACAAGATCAAGGAGACGGACAAGCCCCCCCAGAGCAGAAATGATGGCGAGTCTTGGGGTAACAGCTGTGAATGGGTCTGGAGAGTAACCAGGTGAGCCTGGAGCAGGAGGACAAAGGCAGAAGGTTTATTTCCCGTGCAATATGGAACTGACAGATTAGCTGTGTGAGTAATTTTATGGATGAGACAGTTTGGAGGTGAATAAATAGACCAGGCCATAGAAAATAGAACAAACCAGGGACGAGCAGTTAGCGTAATGGCTATGTCGCTGGGCTCCCACGTAGTCAACCACGGTTCGAGTCCCGGACCCGGTGGCTTAAAACTCACGCCGGGTGCATGTGCGTGCATGCCCAGGATCCTGAGAGGAGAATGGAGAAGGGACTGCGGCGTGGCCATCCCCCCTAGGGGGTGATTTTTCACTTTCTGTCTCTATGTTTCTCTCTGTCTGTCTGGCGAGTGCACGCACCCTATAGCAAAAACCTCTCCAAAAAAAAAAAAAAAAGAAAATAGAACAAACCAAAACTTGAGTTAGTTATTAACTCCAGGTGAAATGAACAATTGCACAAGAAAGGAAATATAAATGATGTGGTTTAGCCATGAACAATATTTGTATGGACATAATAATATAAAAATGAATATATGTATTGGGACTCCCACGTAGTCTATCACAATTCGAGTCCTGGATTCTGAGGCTTAAAACTCATGCAGGGCACATGTGCATGTGTGCCCCCCATCCCAGAGGAGAATGGAGGAGAAGGGATTACAGCATGGCTACCCCTGCTGGGAGGTGAGTTCTTGCTTTTTTTCTTTCTGTCTCTGTCTCTCCAGTGAGCGCATGTGTCCTATAGCAAAAATCTCTGGGGTGGGGGAAGGGATCTTAAGACTCTAACTAAAATAACCTTGTTTATTAAGCTCAACCAAAGACTGTGATTTTCTTTTTCCCTAAAATTAATTCATTTTAAATGAAATATAAGCAATATGTCTGTTCTGAAACACTTTTTTTCATTTCATCCTTCAGCAGCTTCCTAGGGTAAATATCCTATCCTATAGATGATAAAAATGAAGTTCAGAAGGCCTTGTGACAGCCAACAAGGTGACACAGCAGTAGACATGAGGCCACACAGTCCCCTAATTATGGTTTCCATGCTATTGCCACGGAATCATATCATGAGGCATTTAAGCCGTCTTACAAATAAACAGAATCTGAGACATAAAACCCCCAACCCAGAGTAATAGCTTTGTTGTTAGAAAAACAGATTATAGAAAACAATGAATAATTCAAATATTCTGTTGTCATCCTGGTCTTTAAACAGAAATTCTAATTAGTGTGCTTAGCTAGGCTTAGTGGAAACTGAAATCACCCTCATCAGAGGATAGCTCATACTTCCAATCCCTGTCACCCTTGGTGTCCCAGAGGATGAACTGCCACTGCTAAATCTCCAGACAAGGCAAGCAGTCCTACTGGTTGTTTTGTTTTTTATAATACATATTCCAAGATTGCAAAAGTAATGCATGATTGTTTCAGGAACAAATAGAGATATAGCACAAATGAAAATAATAGAATTATCTAAATAAAGCCCATCATGTAGACATAGATACAGTTAACATTTTAGCGTCTACATCTCTGACTTTTTAAAATATAACACAAAAACGGGATCATACCATGCTTTCTCAGTAACCACTTTTTTTTTTCACCCAACACTGTATTTTGGACTTGGTTCTATGTCCATAAGCATGTGTCTACATTTTTCTCTCCTGTGGTTTCCTAACAGTTCATCATGTAGATTACTGTATTTCTAAAGCCCCTGTTACTAGATGTTTGGTTTATTTCTTTCCACTATAAACTGTGGTAACAATAAAACTCTGCACAAACATTTTTTTGTCCATGTCCAATTATTTTCAGGATAAATTCCTTGAAGAGAGATTACTATGCCAGAGCATGCATTTTATGGAGACTCCCAAATCACAATGTAAATTGACCTCCTGAAAGGTCGAACACTGCTGTCAATAGAGTGTCCCACATCCAGCAGACCCTGTGTGTTCTTTTGTCGGTGCTATTATCTTTCCTTAAGGTTAAACCATTAAACCAGGCAAGGAAGTTGGGGTGGGAGGTAGTTGAAATAAATGAGAAATGTCAAGAGTTCTTTAATCCCTTCTTTCTGATCCCTCCCACACACTAATGCTTTCCAATTTGGACTCTAGGTAGCTGGCTTCATCCTCAGCTCATATCCTGACTCTCCGCATGTCCCTCCTTTATATTAAAACTAGAGTCAGTCTCTCCTTACTAGTGAGTACTTTCCATTGAGGTGTGGACAGCAATATAGCTCTGTAACGGGGTCTCCTGACATGCTCCAGGATTCCAAGGTTTCAGAACCAAACTCAAAATGGTCTCCAACACTGACCTGCCAGCCATGGAAAAACAAACAAACAAAAAACCCAGAAAACAAACAAACAAGCAAACAAACAAAAAACACACATTGAAGCTAGTTAAGGGAGGAGAAGAGTTGAGAGCTGGCATACATTCCTACACCTCCTCCTCATTTGTTCTGGCTCCAGGGCCTATCCCCTCCTAATTCCTCCTCCAATGGCTGGGCCTTGAAATGCCTTTTTGTCAGCTTTATTTAAAGGAATACCAGGGACCAGCAGTTAGCGAATGGCTATGTCGCTGGACTCCCATGTGGTCAACGGCGGTTCGTGTCCCGGACCCGGTGGCTTAAAACTCACACCAGGCGCGTGTGCGTGCGTGCCCAGGATCCTGAGAGGAGAATGGAGGAGAAGGGATTGTGGCGTGGCCATCCCCCCTGGGGGGTGATTTCTCGATTTCTGTCTCTCTGTCTCTGTCTGGTGAGCGCACTCGCCCTATAGCAGAAACCTCTCCAAAAATAAATAAATAAATAAATAAATAAATAAATAAATAAATAAATAAATAAATAAATAAATAAATAAATAAGCAATACCATTCTAGGAATACATTCTCCATTCCTGATTTGCTCTAAGACTGAGGATCACACTCTGTTTCTTTCTAAAACTTTCATCTTTAGTTTAGGAAAGCTGACAATTTTATACCATTGCTAATTTCTTCTCCTCATTCCTGGGTTTGTTCTTTCTTGATCAAGGGGCCGCCTGGTCGCCGCCAACCTTGTTCAGTTTATGAGCACAACTCCCTCCTCCCTCAAGAGCTGTACAGAGATTGACATGAAGCGTATGCGCCACTGGGGTTAAATACACAGGACCAGGAAACGCGGGCTTGTCCATACTACTCACTCGTGTACGTTCGTCCTTCCTACTCATTTTGTGTTATGTTCCTCTCGCTGGAGTTACCCGCACTTAGGATGGCTACGAATCAAACACAGGTAACTTTGCACCTGGACATACCAACACTTAACAAATTCTGTCTTGGGACTCAGGGTTCCAAAACTTGGCTTTTAACACCTCTGAGGCAGAAGTGGGGAAAAAGGTTACAACAGGCGACAACTGGGCTTGGTTCTTTTCTGTCCACACCTCCTCCAAAATACATGTGCAAGACCTTATTCTCACGTAGATGTGGTAAACATTTTTTAGGTTTTACCCTCTACACTTCAAACCTACTGTGCGTAAAATTTCCCAGCTCACCAGGACTCAACATAAACGTCTAGTTCTGTTTTGGCCGATTTCAACAGGATAATTACCTGCCCGATTTTACAAAAAATACACCAAGTGACATAGTCCAAAGTCCAATCCGCAGACAGAATCGATTACTAAACGTTCTCTGGGAAAAACGGGAGACCGGAGGCAACTTTAGGGGCTGTTGGAAGCCAAGTCCAGGCTGCAGCTCCGCACCCCCTTCCCGCTCCCCCCTCGCTTGGCTGCCCCTTCGCCGCAGCACCGGGTCCCCACCCGCCGCCCTGCGGGCGCTCCCCTGAAGCCCCGCCCCGCCGCGGCCGGCGCCCCGCCCCGCCGGCGACGCCACT